GCTGCCCAGGGAGGTGGTGGATTTACTCACCTAGGAGTAATGTAAACTTGTTGTTAACAGCAGAATGCACAAAAATGTCTTTATTGAGTACCTGAAAAACTGAACCACTTTCAATGTGTCTGCAGTATAAATGCTCCTGTGTTGTAGATAGTTAGAAATAGCTGAGGGAATTATGAAATTATCAACGAAGCAGCTGTAGATGTGTTCACATTGTACACTACCAAGCAGATGAGTAGGGTCTTATATTCATGTGTTTGTTTGTAATATAATGGGTATGTTTTGTGATCACTTAATATTTCTTAGTAACCATATGGGACATTTGAATCAGAATTGGTTTCGTGCAGTTAAATATTGAATGGTGATTTGATCTGCTGAGGATCACGGAGTGCTAATACCTGATATTTATACATCTTCAGTATGTGTCACAGAAGTGATGGCAGTTTGTTTTTAAAGAAATACTGAATCTGGTATTTTTCTTTTGCTGAACAGTGGGCTTAGTGTACTGCGCTGAATATATCAATGAGTTAGCAGCCATGAATTGGAGGTAAATGTTTTCACTTTCATCTTTTGAACAGTACTGTACAGTACAACATAGTTACCACTTAGCTTATGAGAAATGATAGTTTTTAGTAGCTAGCATTTATTTATTGTAGTGCTTAAATTTGTGTTTATGTGGTCAGACTAACTGGTCAGAGACCTAAGAGACAACAGATGCTGTGGTAATGGGGAAACAGATGTAAGCTTTGATTTTTGGTTTTGTTGGATTTTCTTTGGTAACTATTCATTTTTAATAAGCTCAAATTCAGCTCAAAAATATCACTGCTGCTTTATATACTTACCAATATGCATAAAAAGCCTTAACATTTGTCTGTTTTACTAAACTTGTATAGCAGAATTAAACTGATGGCTTGTTTTGATAAGCATTGAACTAAGCTTTCCCTGATATAACTAGAAATTACATGGTTACCACTAATTTATGCAGGCATCAAATTGTAAATCTTTATTATGTTTCACTTCAGGCATACATGACCTAAATTACAGCTTTGCTACATGTGTTAGTTCTGTTATCTTTGCTAAGATAAGTAAGCAAAATGCCTAAGAAAGTAATTTCAGACACTTCAGGATAAGCATGAATTCTGATGCACAAATATGTGTACTCTTGTAGTCAGGTTAGTATGTTTGTTTATGGTGGTTTTGTTTAGTTTTGGCCCAGTAAAACTTCAAAGAAGAGAAAGAACAGATATTGCACCAAGTGTTTCTAAGTGTGTAGGCAGTGGCTGCCTCTTTGCTCTGCAGGATGCAGTAGAACACTGTGCTGTGCTTGGGGACCCCAGGAAGGAGGGTGATGTGTACAATGTCCAGGTTGAAAAGCTATGTGAAAGTCTGCTGTGTGAACTGCACTGAACAAAGCTTCTCTTTCATTCTGTTGTTTCTTTCAGGCTGTTTTCTAAATACCAATACTTTGATTCAAGAGGAATGTTTATTTCGCTTGTGTTTTCAGCACCACTGCTGGTGAATGCTGTTATAATTGTGGTATGTATGTGTTCCTTTATGTGGGTGCCTTCATTAAATTGATCAGTAAATATATATGGATTAGTTAAATTTAATAATGGATTTGCTTTTCAGGTCACCTGGGTTTACAGAACTTTGAATGTAATGACTGAACTAAAGACACTACAGCAGAGGAGGAAAGCAGAAAAACAGAAAAAGAAGTGAGAGGACCTAACACTGCCTTTTTTTTCAATTGTTACAATACTTGTCTGGGTGTTCAGTCCTTCTGTGTGGTTATTCAGAAACAAAAAGACTTCTAATACTTGTCTGGGTGTTCAGTCCTTCTGTGTGGTTATTCAGAAGCAGAAAGACTTTTGTGCCTGATGTCAAGAGGACTCTGTAACGTGTGGCTGTGTGGGACCTAGAACACCTTTGAATTGGCTGTGAAATGTGGAAACCTCTGTGCCCTTCAGGGTAAGAGAGTTTTCCACCACGACCCAGGCTGTCAGAACTGGGGAGACACAATCTTCCAGTCAGTTGCTGTTTGCCTGTGTAACTTTTAACCATGTCTTAGCTCTGTGTTTATCAGGTGCCCAGTCTCCTGCTGCCTAATCCACTTGGAGCAGTGCTGTGAATGGCAGAGAACACGAGACTCTATTCCAAATTCCTGGGGAATCCATGCTTCTGTGAAGCATTCCAGTCTTTTATAAATCAAACTGTGTGTATTGTGTGCCACTGGCATTTTATAAATAAATCTGCCCACTGTGTCTTAAATGGAGTTGATTTGTATTTGGTTTTAATCAGGTTTTTTCTTTTTTCTCATAAAAATTTCCAGTCATCCTGAATTTGTGTAAGTATTTCGAAATTATCTCTGTGTTGTTTTCTATTTAAATTTCACATTTTTAAAGCCACAACATAAATAACCTGTTCTTAAAACTGAGTGAAATTCTTACTGGTTTTTTGCTTATTTGTAGAACAGAAGGGAAGGGGAGAAACTTTATAATATTCTGTGCAATTTTGCTCCTTTTTTATGCTCTTTTTAAAAAAAAGGACTGAAAATTGAAAATTAACTCTGGTAAAAATGGAGAAGACTTCAGTTTTGCTTACAGCAGTCTGTACTGAGTTATGGAAATCTGAGGGAGGAGTGTGATGGATGGAGGATGTCTGGGTTCAGTAAAAGCTGTCTCTGGAAGCAGTTATGCCTTTGTGTGGAGATTTATACTTCTGTCTAAAGTAGGTGTTATTTAAGACACAGGAGAGATGATCTACAAAACTGAACTTAGACTAATGTGAAGCCATTTGTGTACCAAGTTGCAGAACCCCAGTAAGTTTATAAGCTAAGTAAATATTTATGAAGTTATTTTTAATTACTGGAATAGTCTTCACACCAGTGGAAATAGGGAACCAAGGCAGATGGCAGATGCACATGCATACACAGTTTGCAAGTCTCCCAGGTAGGGAGAAAGTGAAAGTCTTACTTGAGGGCTTCACAGCATTGTGGAAGGGCAGTGAAGTGTTGGGTTTAAGTCTTGGATCCATTTCTTTACCTTTCCCATGCTTTTTTGGCATCTCTCTCCTCACCCATTGCTCCATCAAGAAGAGCTGACATCTAGACTACTTTTTATCAGCAAACTGAAGAAATGCAGGTTTGTATGTTGTCCCATAATAGGCCGTTTTGTTGTGACTCATGCTGCAGTGTTGTGTGGTGTCAACTGTATGGGGAACATCTCTAGTGCCTTTTGGGAAGGAGTGAGTAGAATCTGTCCAAGTGGCTGCAAGACAGGCTGTGGCACTGGTCTTCAGGACCAAAGAACAGGCCTCTGGGATTTTAGGGAGGTAGGTGTTGTCCTCCCAGGCTGGTTCACCACTTGTCACTGGCCATCACCCAGACATAAGCCATTGACCACAGCTCTGTGGCTGTCTCCCACCACTGAGTAGCCGACCCTTCAAATCCATGCCTCTCCAGGTGAGTGGTAAGCTTGTGTGGGACTGTGTCAAAAAGTCTATGAAGGCAACATCTATTAGTCTTCCCCTGTTGACTGTTGCAGTCACTCCATCGTGGAAGGTCACCAGGTGCCCTTAGTGAAGCCAAGTTGTCTGGGGTGACCTGCTTGTCTTGCACGTGCACGTGTGTTTGTCAGAAAAATATTCCCATTTTGTACATTTCAGAAAGACTCAAACTGTTATTCGTGTCCTCCTCTAGCTAATCCTGCCTGTGAAACATTAAGAGCTAAGTTTTTGCAGTGTTGGTTTGTTAGTGTTTGTTAGCCACAGCAGAAATCTTTAGTAAGTGAAGCATGACTTTTCTTCATCAGGAGTCAGGATTTATGAAGTGGTAGTGCAGTAACAGAATGTATGGGCCTACTTGCTGACAAACCAAAATAATTAGATCATGAATTTAGAGACTGTTTCCCCTACTAAGAATTAAAGGCTGGTGGAGTACCTTTGCTTTTAATTAGGGAACCTGAGTTTGGGTTGCTTGCAAAAGAACCTGTTTATTTCATTCTGGAATGTGCACACAGAAAAGCTGGAGCTGCTCAGTTGGGACATTTGGTAAGGAGGACACAGAGATGATTTGTTACTGCTCTGTGTATCCTGCAGGCAGTGACTCAAACCTTCAGCCTTCTTTAATGTGTCCTTCCACAGCAGCACATGGTGTCAGCCAGTGTGGAAAAACAGTACAAGGGGGAAAGTAATATTAACCTGGCAACTTTACCATAGCAGAAAGTAGGTTTTTTGCATGTAAGTCCATGAAAAGATATATTATCAGAATTTAGTTGGCAAACTTGCTGGAGTTTGAGGCTGGCCTTGTTCCCTTTGAAAAAGTGAGAACTGAGATGAGTTTCTAAGAATGGGAACCTAGAATGCTCTTTTTCCACATGCACTGAAATGCCCAATCCTTAACTTGGAGTGTATTTTCACCTCTTTTTGGTCTCATTATTCTAGACAAAATGGAACAGATGCAGTAAGGGAATTTAGATGTCTGTTCCTCTGCAGCATTTTCTTGCTCAGTAGATATGTGTAACTCCATCTCCCTTAAAAACCCACCTATCTCCCAAAGGCACAGAAGGACAGTAAATTGAGGTCTCCTACATCCTCGAGTGTACTCTAAACAAAGAACTTTGGAGGACAGTCTTGCTGCTTTCCAACATCTGGATCCTAAAGGAGGGGTCTGTGCTAGGAAAGCTGTGTTAGAGGTAGATCTGCTGTGGCTGTGAATCCTAAATGGAAGAAGAGGTTATGAAGAATTGCTCTGTGGATGCTGAGAATCCTAAGCTCAGGTCTTGACCTCTGTTTTTCACAGGAACTAGGAGTGTGAGGAAAAAGAGGAGTAGTGATTCTTTGTGTGAAGAAGAGAGAAGAGAATGCAGCTGTAATGTAGGGAATGTTCTGTTTCTTCACATAGAGCTGAACAAACTTGTTGACTTCTCTTGTGCACCTGATTAACCCTCATGACACAACCCGTGCCATGTGCCAGAGTGACTCTGCTGGAGCAGGAGGTAGGGCGAGGTGACCCTCTGTGGCCCACTCTGATTCTGGAATTTCTCACCTCAGATGAACCAACCATTACTAAAATTAATGCATCAACGTATGTTTCTTTGTTTAGGAAACTTACAGACTTTGTACATTTCGCTACTTAAATGTTTTTAACGTTTGAAAACACTTGGTAAATATTTTGATGTGTTTGAACAAAATACAAGCATTGATGCTTTCCTGTGCACCTGGGGCAGGTTACAGGATGTCACCATCCCACATGCTAAAGCTGCCCAAAGCCTTCCTTGTGAGGCTGTTCTCTAGAGCTCTTCCCCACAGCGTCAGGAACACCTCCTGCAGCATTTTGGAATGGCTAGGAGGGCTTGATGTAGCCTCTGAAAGCATAAACTGTTACCTGGGCTACAAGGTACAGCTCCAGTCGCTTTCAAATACTGATTTGACACTTGGTTTTTGCATTGAAACCACTTCTGGTAGCAGTGGTGATGTACATATATGCTTCCAGAGCCATGACTGTGCAGGTATTTTGTGTTTTAAAGTTTCTTAATGCAGGAAGGGAGTGAATACCCTGTTTGCTGATACTCATATTTCATGTGGAGGAGCTTGTAACAGTGTAAAATGATTCCATTATTGCGTGAACAGTATGCAGGAAAGTTTTCTGAAGCAGTCTGGGTCAGGAACTGATGGAGCTTGTGATTTACCCTTGCATAATGGTGGAGAATATACACAATTGTTTCAATTAAATACATAATTGGCCATATTACATCTCAGGCAGAAAGTGATCAGTTTGCTTTGTAACCCTTAGAGGGCTCCAGTGCTATGTAGTACTGGAGAACAGGCTAATTTGACATCTTAATGTATTCTGACATCTACTGTAATTTAATTTAGGCCTTGCATTAACTCTGGTTACATGGTTTTAACTGTGTACAGAACCTTCCAAGCTGGTTAGAAGTTTGATGACAAAGATTTAGGATTGTGAGGTAGAGAATATCTACAAAACTGTTATGTATGGATTTACTGGAATTAATAGCATAAATGTGACAGGATTCTCAGTTCCCAAATTTCAGAAACATGAGGACTGGTCTAGAGGCAAAGCAATTAAATCATGACATGGTAATTTCTCACTATTTTCTGAATGCTTCACTGTCCATCCAGTGTCTGTGTGTAAATCACAGCATTGCAGTGCAGCATTTCCTCTGTAACAATTTGGAGCATTGTGTTGCCTCCAAACAGCAAATCTGTTACTGGGCAAGAAGTGTAAGAGTCCTTTCCTTCCTTCCAGGACGTTCATGTGTGAATCAGCTCCATTCTAGAGGCATGAAAACAGCCAAGGGTAACTACAGCTCCAGCAAAGGGCCAGCAGCACAAAGACAAAGTGCTTGATGTGGAGGAGAAGGAAGAGCATGGATGTGGTAACAGTGAACTTGCACCCACCTATCAGCTGTGTCTAGAAGTTGCTGTTTGAAATGCCAAAGTGAGGGTTACAACAGTAGCTGAACCATAAGAGACCTTGAAGGACAGTTGCAATTTCACAGGCTGCTCCCTTAAGATGCCACGTGCACAGCAAATGGGTTTGGAATGGAACTGAATGTGAGATGTGTGTAGAAACACATCTGAGGGAAGTGGCATTGAAGGCAGATGTGCTTTTGCTTGTTTAATGTAAAGAAAAATAATATTTGGAAGGAAAACTAAGAAGAAAGCCAATAGGCAGGGAAAAGTGCATGAAAAAAAAA